CACACAGGACCAGATGGACCTCATAGATATATACAGAACATTCCACCCTAAAACAACAGAATACTCATTCTTCTTGAGAGCACATGGAACTTTCTACAGAATAGATCACATACTGGGTCACAAATCAGGTCTCAACTGATACCAAAAGACTGAGATTATTCCCTGCATATTCTCAGACTGTAATGCTTTAAAACTGGCACTCAATCACAAGAAAAAATTTGGAAGAAATTCAAACATGTGGAAGCTAAAGACCACTCTGCTTAAGAATGTTTAAGTCAACCAGGAAATCAAAGAAGAACTTAAACAATTCATGGAAACCCATGAGAACAAAAACACATCGGTCCAAAACCTATGGGATACCGCAAAGGCGGTCCTAAGGGGGAAATACATAGCCGTCCAAGCCTCACTCAAAAAAATAGAAAAATCTCGAATTCACCAACTAACTCTACACCTTAAAGAACTAGAGAAAAAGCAACAAACGATGCCTAAGCCACACACTGGAAGAGAAATAATTAAGATTCAAGCAGAGATCAATGAATTAGAAACCAGAAACACAGTAGATCAGATCAACGAAACTAGAAGCTAGTTCTTCGAAAGAATGAATGAGATCAATAAACCACTGGCCAGACTTATCCAGAAGAAAAGAGAAAGGACCCAAATGAATAAAATTATGAATGAAAGGGGAGAGATCACGACTAACACCAAGGAAATAGAAACAATTATTAGAAATTATTATCAACAACTATATGTCAATGAGGTGAGCAATCTGGATGAAATGGATGCCTTCCTGGAAACCTATAAACTCCCAAGACTGAGACAGGAAGAAATTGACAACCTGAATAGGCCAATAACCACTAACAAGATTGGAGCAGTGATCAAAAACCTCCCAAAAAACAAGAGTCCAGGGCCTGATGGATTCCCTGGGGAATTCTACCAAACATTCAAAGAAGAAGAAGTACCTATTCTCCTGAAGCTGTTTCAAAAAAAATAGAAACAGAAGGAAAGCTTCCAAATTCATTCTACACCTTGTTCTTTGAGAGATTTATTGAAATTAGTCTTTAGCCTGTAATCTGATTTTTGTGTTAAATAATCTGTTTACTAAATGTATTATTCATTTTATTATTCACATATTCATAAGATACAAACACATACTTATATCTTTGTTTTTTTCTGTTTGCCTGGAGTCTAAGACATGAGCTAAAGTTTTCAAATTTTGTTTTTATTCCTCATCATTTTCTCTTTTTAAGTCTATTAACTCATGCATTTAAAAAATGACATTTTAATCCACTTAATGGTTTTTAATTTTTTTCCAGTTTAAATTATACTTTGACACTTTTACATTATTTTTACAACCACTGTTTTCTGTTTATTTGCATTTTCCCATTATGCCTTTGTTCAACTTGTTATTTTTAAGTTAACTGGGTCATTTTGTGTTAGGTGTTTATCTTCTAGATTTTGTTTATTTAGACAGTCTGAGACCTTTTCTCTATTTTATCCCATTTATATTTATTGTCACAACAGAAATATTTTTTCTTTTGTCATTTTTATTATACAGTTTGAATGCCTTCATGTTTTTAAATATATTTTCTGTGTTCTATTTTACTTTTTTCCCCCGTGGCCCTTGCTTTTGTTTTCCTTTCAGTTATTGAAAATATAATTAGATACTTAAATCTTTATAGTAAGGTCTTCTGTTGACTTTCTTCTCTGCAGGCTGTGGCATTTATCCTTTAGCCTTTATTTCTGCAGACTTTCCCACACTCCCTACCCATTTTTGTTTCCGTGCCTCTGAAGGACCCTCTTAACTTAGTAAACCCCTCTTCCAGAGCAGTTGTCATGCTAGTGTCAGATGCTCTGTGTTTGGTGTGACTGTCATCCCCAAGTCATTTTACATAATCCCCAGGCAGCCATTTGTGTTCTTAATGATTGATCTTACCACCCCAGGACGCTGCCTCTTGGCAAGCATCACCACCTTCTCCACCAGTTCCCTGCTCTCTCATTTTAGCTGCTGGAGTTCTGGGCCCCATTGAGACCACTGGCCTCTGAATCCATTAACCTGGAATGACCACATGGGCCACAAAAAGTTTTCACGTGAAGGTTTTCCTGTTGGTCTCATCACCCATCTTACATTCTATCCACAGGCTTGAAGTCAGGAATGAAAGACAGGAGGGAGAAGGGTCCATGGTATAGGCTGTTGAAGTAGTAGAGATGAAGAGCGGTGAAGATTTGAACCAGAGCCATTGGACTGGAATCAAATTGGCTTTGGCTTCCAAAATGGTTGCTTCATATGGTTCAACTTAATAGCAGAAATGGAAAGGCATGGCCAGATTTAGAAATACTAAGTCAGAATCAAAAAGAAAATGAGAAGCAAGGCAGAAGGAGAAGCCCCAGCAGATGCCCAAATCCCAGTCTTCAGTGCCTGGATGGGTCATAGGGCAACCCACTGAGGCACATATTTCAGGAAGGATGATGGGGCTCTTGGGGGAGACAATTTGATAGGGAAGCTGTTCAGATTTGTTGCATACAGACGGTGTTTGAGGGATCTCTATATGGTATCTGCATAAAAATGCAGATCTCTTAGTTGGGTGAGACTGCTGGTCAGTGAAAAGTATGGAGTGGGGCTGAACTTGGGGATTGTCGGTGAATTGGCAGCCATTGCAGGGTGTGCTCAGTAAAAACATGAGTAGAGGAACCTGACATTTGAGGGATAGATGTAGGAGGAGAAGTACTTACAACGGAACCTATGGTAGTATATATAGTCCCAGATCTGTGAGGAAAAACCATGAGAATGAAGTGTCACTTGAGCCAAAACAAGACAGATCCAGAAAGGGAGAAGCTACAACCATTGATAATTGTAGAAAAATGGTCAAGTATCAATAATAATTATTGGCAAACATTGAGTACCTACCATGTACCATACATTGTTCTAAATAGTGTATTAACTCCTTTAATATGACAACTTATCCAGTAAAGTGGACACTATAATTATAGATGAGGAAACTGAGGCACAGAGCAGTAAGATAACTTGCCCAAATTCACACGCTAGTGAGTGGTGTAGCCAAGACTGGAACCCAGGTATTCTGATCCAGAGCCCAAGCACTACAATATCTTCCTTCTTAAGATAAGGATTGAAAACTGTCTATTGGATTTAGCAACTATGAAGTTATTGGTATTTGCCAGGAGAGCAGTTCTGGGGAAAGTGTTGGGGACAAAATCCAGATGATAGTGGGGGGGGGTGTAGTTTTGTAGTGGGAAGTAAGGGAGTGTTGAGAGTGAGTGTAGATAAAACTGTTGAGAATCCCACGTGTGACTGAAACACAGCTAGACTGTGCTGGAGCAGAACCTGCTGGCCAAGGGTAGCTTTTAAGAGTAAGAGAAGCCCCAGCATTTACGTGTGCCAAAATCAGGGATAAAAGAGTTCAGAGACACAGGATAAAGAGAGAGAACCAAGAAGGACCAAGAGCTGGAACAGGCAGTAGAGATGAGGAGGGGTCAAGAGCTCCGGCACGCCTTGAGGAGAGGAGGCAGTGGTTGGTTGTGGTAATCTGAGGTGTAATCTAACCTCTGATCGATGGACAAGAAGTTAGAAATCAGCCCCTCTCCTGTCCCCTTACCTGTTGAAGATGTGCTGTGGGTGTGTGCTGGGATTAGGTGGGTGATGTTGAAGGGGGGGACATTTGTGTAGGGCACAGCAGTGGAGAAGGCAGGTTTGCAATAGACTTGTCAAATTTGGAATGAGGGTGTGAAAGAATTAGGGCTTTGAGTGAGACCAATGTGGATGGTTAGCCAGCGCGGTGGGGTGGCCCTGGGCTTGCTGAGAATACAGGAGGTCTGGGCCATCATATAGACTCTAGGAAGGGTGAGGTCCAGGGTACTATGTGAGCTGCAGGAGCAGGTTTAAAAGGAATGAGGGGCAGGAGGCTGTGTCAGAATACCGGTGGATGGAACTTCCGGGTTTCTCGAGTGGACAGGGATGTGGATGTGGCTGAAGCTGGTCGGGAGATAAAGACCATGGAATTAGGGAGGTCAAGGGCACTGGTCACGGTGTTCACATAGGCAGTCACATCTCCTAGGCGAAGTTAGATAGTGGGTGGCAAGGAAAGCTGTTAACTGAGTTTTAAAAGCTCTACTGAAATACACGGTTTGGGTGAGAGTCAGAATGGAGAATTCAAAGAACTTGTTGCCTTTGGATTCCTGGATACCAACATTTGTGTATGGGGCTTATCTTCAAGAGGTGTTATAAAGAAATTCAAGATGGGAGAAAGAGACAAACCAAGAAACAGACTCTTAACTATGGAGAACAAACTGATGGGGGTAGGAGGGAATGGGACCAGAGAGGAGAAGGGGGGCTGGGGGGGATCGGACAAATAAGGGATGGGGGTCGAGGAGTGCACTTGCTGTGATGAGCACTGGGTGTGGTATGGAAGTGTTGAATCACCGGTGGTGTTGTACACCCGAAACTAACGTAACACTGAATGTTAACTGTATTGGAATTAAAATTAAAAAAAAAAATTCAGATGGCATATATTCCTGGGGGATGTAGAATCAAATCAGGGTAAACCCTCTTTGGCTTATGGTAGCTTCCAAGGTAAGCTCCTCTGTCACACTTCATAAGAAAGTTGGGGTATTAGGAAGTAATTCTCCTCTGTGCTTCACTTGAAACAACAATGAAAAAGGTGCAGATTGGGGTTTCAGGCCATGTTTGGGTTGTTCTTCTGCATTCAAGCGTTATTTCTGAAATCCATTAAAAATGTTCTGTGTGGCTGACTCTTCTTTTGCTGGTTATTAGAATGTGGCCTTTTGGCCTTTTTTTTTTTTTTTTTTTTTTTTAACCCTGTTTTGAAAATCCGAGTCCATTGCCAGGGTAGTGTACAAGGCTAATAGAAGGCCTCTTTGGGAGGTTCTGGTGGGAAGCTGAAACATAGAGGGTTTGGGGGCTGGGCAGCTTCCTGTGATGCCTACAACTACTTCTGCGAAATTGACTCCCACCCTGTGTGTTGCAGGTGATATTTGAATCCGTCTCTTTGAAGGGTCATCCTGGCTACATCGCTGTGGACGAGGTCCGGGTCCTTGCTCATCCATGCAGTAAGTCTGCTCCCTCCTCCTCACACAGCCCCACTCCCTGCCAGACTGGGGAGCTTGGAGCCTGCAGTCCCCACCATTCATTCAGCTCACAACCATCTCTGGCTCTCTCTCTCTCTCTTTTTAATCCTTCAGAAATACTTACATACTCAATGCAATCAGTCCTGAATAAATTTGTAATTTCGCTGGCCCGTTCAACAGGCAGCACCTACAGGAATTTGCAGAGTGGCAAAACATCGTTTGAATCTCTCTCCGTCATTAAGGGAGTCTAAAGTCCTGATTGTTTATTAGTGGGATTCAGACCACCGAAGTGGAAGAATTAGACGGCTTTGGATAGAATCTTGTGCAATTGTCTTAAAAAAAGAACTACACCAAAACACTGAGCAAATTAGTACACTGTTCACTCACAGGGAAAAGTACCCCAAAGCTATTAATTCTTTAAAAGTAATTTTAAATACACTCCTCAGCTCTGTGTAGGCATCGGGAGAGTTTTCTCACAGCAGTTAGTGCTCACGGTCCAGTGTCAAGAGTCCTCGAAGGCATACCGCTCCTCTGTGCCCATCCAGTCTCCCCTTCGAAGTTCGCTCTCTTTGCTGTGTTTAGCCTCAGATATCTCAACGTGTTTGTGCAAGGACCCGCGGTTCCCAGTTCCACGAAATCCCAGAGGGGAGTTGGATGGCATCCTATCTAGTGACATTTGGTTGGGAGGGGCTGTAGTCAAAGGAATATGCATGGGGGTGATGGCCTTCCCCAGGAGGGCTAGCTGGGATACCAGCCCCATTAGTTTGTTAGCATTCTGCATATTGGAGATTCCCATTAATTTCTTGGCAGCCGGCTAGTTCCAGGTAACTCCGGGATGGCTCGCTGTACTCCCTCCTTGTAGCCATGAGTCATGCTCTTGGCCGTGGTGCAGTTTGCTATTTCCTCAAGAAGTGTCATGCCCCTTGTTGTTAGAGGCCTTTCAGTCCTTTCATTTTGGGGCTCTTCTCATGTCCTCCCCATCCATGTCGTTTAATTGAAACGACACTTTCCACTTCTGCTGCAATGAATTTGTTAGAACCTCGAACACCACTTCCTTCCACAGCACTAGGATGCCAGTTGTTTGACTCATTGCTTAGAGCACCTCTCTGAAGGAATTTGGAACAGGGTCCAAGGGGTTTTGCCAAGGCAGTGTTTGGGATCATTGTGTTTTGTGTCTGTGCAAGGGAACCCTTCTTCCCTGAAACCAGCCAGCTTCTCAGGAATGCTGAGGTCATACGAGATTCTTCATTACTCTGGCCTGAGGTTCCTGCCCTCTGGGTTACTTGCTGGGTGTTTGGGATTTCCTTAGGTGGGTCTGTCCGTGCAGTCATGCCTGCTGAACCAGACCTCATGTGAAGAGGGTCCCAGAAATCCCCCCAGCCATGCAGTGGGAATTTTCACCTCTGCTGTGAGGCCCAACCTGATTCCTGTTCCTTATTCCAACCTCAACTCTGCCTTAACTCCAAGCACTCTTGCCTTAACTCCATGCACCATTTATATAGTAGATAGGCAGTTAATCCAACTCACCCGGATTAAGCCTTCCCCTCCCTGGCCTTCTGGGAATCAGGATTAGCTGCCCATTAAAGAATGACCTTTGATCTCAGCCTGGACAACTGCTGCAGGACGTGTTTGCCCTCCCTGTGGTCCACCTAACTCCACAGACTCAGCTCTGCCCAGCTGCCAGTTTTGAGGTGGTCTCTGTGAGGCAGGGTTCAGTTTCTCCAAGCCCTGCACACATCCCATCCTTGCTGGGGGTGTTCACCTCTGCTGCGTCCAGCTGCATCCTTGCTTCTTACCCTATACTTGGTTTTTCTAGTAGGTGACTTTTGGCCCTTCCCAGGAGAATCTGGCCTGGCTCTCTTGTCGGGGATCCCAGATCTCTCTACTCAGAGTGTGGAATTTTCATCTCTGTCATGAGGCCCAACCTGATACCTGTTTCAACCTCAACTCTGCCTTAACTCCAAGCACTGGTTTGCCGTTAAAGCCAAATGCTTCCTTCTCTCTGAGAAGTCTGTATGGGAAAGGGTTCTCTGGAGGGTGTTTAGATGCCTTTACACCCCCCCTTGGGGTCCCCCCACCACCACCTCACTGGGGCTGCTCCTGAATTTAGGATTCTCCTGACAGCCTTGTATTCCTCCTGCTGAGGAGTATGGATTGCATGGTTATGAAATTGCTGAGGGCCAGTTAGCCAGCAAATGGGCCACAGGATATAACTCAGAAGGACGTGACTCTGGCTGTGTTGCTGGGTAATGGGAGTACAATGCAGAGTTTAGCCTCGATGCTTAGGCGGCTTGGCCTTAAACTCCCCAGAAATCAAAAAGTGAGGACCCTGTGATAGTGGCTGGAATCGGAAAAATTCCATTGAACAGTATGTACAAATCCTGGCGGTGCGTATAGTCTGCAGGGGTCTGTGTACACAGCTCCTGAGTCACATGCAGTTGAGCGGTGCCTCGCAAAGGCCCCTTCTCCAGTTGGGTGCTCAGTCCACAGCCACTCCAGCTCTTCACTCCTACTTTCTTTCAACAGGTAAATTATTGCACATTAGCTATGTGTCAGGAACTTGCACTGGACATGGGGGGCACTTTAGTCATCAAGTTGGTTAGATCCTTGTCTCCATGGTGTTAGCCGAGTGGCAGAGGGAGGAAAGCCACTCAGTAAGTAATAGTAAGTAGTAACAAATGTAACTTCACATAGTGATAGCGTGGTGGAGAGAATAAATGTGAGTTGCTGGGGTTGGGGAGGGCTCCTTAGGTAGAGAGGGCAGGGGCTGAGTCTGGGCACCTGTGGTCTCAGCTGACACCTGAGTCCCTTGTGAGGTGATCTAGGGAGGGGGCAGGCCAGGCAGAGGAAACAGCAGGTGCAGAGGCCCTGCAGTGGGAATTCACAGGTGTTGCCAGAGTAGCTAGAGTGTAGGGAGCATAGGGGAAAAGGGTCTGAGTGAAGGTTGGGGAGGGAGGCTGAGGCCAGGCCACAGAGGGGCTGAGTGTCTCAATGAGGTTAGGCTTTAATCAAAGCACAAGGAGGCGCCCCTGGAAGGATTTTTCCTAGGGATTGATTTGATCTCATTTAAGTGTCTAGAAGATCACTTTGGCTGCTCTGCAGAGAATGAGTTGAAGGGGAATAGAGAAGCCAGGAGACCAATCAGGAAGGAAGTTCTGGAGTCATGGAAGAGGTAGGTGGTGGTGGCCTGGGCCAGGCTGGTGGAGAGACGTCCATTCATCGTTTGGCATGTGTTTACTGAGCGTGTACTCCAGGACAGGCACTATTCTGGGTTTATGCACATTCATTCTCTGTCCTTGTGGGCTTCTGTTGAGATGGAAGACACTGGAAATGAAACAGGTAATTAATTATATGATCTATAACAGGGTAAATTAGTTGGCTAAGGCTGCCATACAGAATGTTACGTGCTGGGTAGGCTTAAACAGCAGAACTGTATTTGCCCACAGTTCTATAGGTAGAATTCCAGGATGAAGAGAGCAGGGTTGGTTTTTCCTGAGGCTTCTGTCCTTTGCTTGCAGCTGGCTGCCTTCTTGCTCTGTCCTTACATGGGCTTTGCTCTGTGTAGTGTTCCTGATATGTTTCTGTGTGTCCAAAACTTCTCAGGACACCAGATAGATTGGATTAAGGTCCACCCTAATAAAAGCCCTATCTCCAAATACCGGCACACTCTGAGGTGTGGAGCAGTAGGGCTTCAATATCTGAAACTTTGGGGGGGGGCACACAATGTAGTCCATAACAGATGGTCAGCAGTGCTATGAAGAAACAAAGCACAGAGATGGAGAGAGGTGGACAGATGAGAGAGAGATTTAGGAGGTGGGGTCCGCTGATCCTATTTGATGGGTTAGTTTGGGAGGCAGAGGCATCAGAAATGGTGCTCTCCTGGATTTGTGGCTCGGGCACCTGGCTGGTGCAGGCTGGGGTGGTATACGTCTCTGGAGCCTGAGTGATGCCTTCCAGCGCGCTGACCGTGCATGCATCCTGGGGCCTTGGGGGGGCATGAGTCATGCGTGCTGCTAGTGGCTTCTGCACCGTCCTTTGCACAGACAGCGCCTTTTGCCCCCAAAGCCTTCATGTGAATGCATTTATGGCTTCACTCACGGGTGCTAAAAACTTAACTATATTGAGAAACACGCATTCTCCTCAGGCTTTGTAATTCTCCACTTCCGTCCTCCAAAACATTTTTTCTATTAATATCAGGTCAGCACTTATCAATAAGCTATTCTGCTAAATATTCCAAAAGTTCCAGGGCCAGTGGGGTGGGGGGGCGGTTAGTGACTGATTTGCAATTGTATTCTTGATCGATTTGAGCTGAAGTTACCCCTTCACATGATTGCCTTCCAGCTTCCAAAGCACCGACTGACAGGCGTAATACTCAAAGGAAATTATTTTCTCTTACAAACCGAAGCCTCTTGTCTATATTTTATAGCCCATTTAACATTTTTGTGGGATTCTAAAAGTATTTTAGCCATTGTCACCCCTCTGCTGTCGTTCTCGGTGTCAGCTGTGAGCAGGGACACCACAGTTACAACCACACACGAGAAACGGCACGATTTTCCACCCGCTCTCCAAGTTTCTAGCTCCCAAGGTGACTTTTAGAATTTTTTAAACTTTTTTTTTTTTTCCCCATCACAACCTTGCAGGGCCATGTCACCGAGCCCACGGAGCGTCTGCAACACGTTTCTAATGTATGTACTGCACTTTCTCCTCAATTGCGTGGCTTCCTACTGAGCGCTGTCAGGTTTAAAGAGTGAGATAAAGGGCACAGTACTGTGTGTCTCCAGATGCTTCGCTGACATCGGCAGGAGTTTAAATGTCACCAACATCAAGGTGTTTTGCCCCAAATGCACAGCCAGTTTGCTGTTACCCTCCCTTCAGCGGGATCCCACTTTGGAGGTGCTGGGTCTCAGTGGGGAGTGAGGGTGGAATGTTTAAAACCACATGCTGGAGACTGGGCTGGGCCCCAAGGTCAACCATGTTTGGCCCCAGGTTGGCAAGCGGAAGCTGGCGGGATAAATTCTTTCCCCAAGCTGTAGATGCTGGAGGAAGATCACACGGTGGAGAGAGCGTAGGGCTCAGAAGTAGACCGGAGAGAGAGAGAGAGAGAGAGAGAGAGAGAGAGAGAGAGAGAGTGTGTGTGTGTGTATATGTGTTTGGGTGGGGGAGAGGGAGGGTCAGAAAGGCCAGGAGCTCAGAGAAGTGGCCTGAACAGGTCACCAACATAAGGAGGCTCCCCAGTTCTGGTTAAGTTCTTGTGTTGGGAATGTTGATCTAGGGCTAGCAGTCATGTGATCCACAGCATGCTGCCTGGAGGGTTGGGGGCATCCCTGGATTTATGGAGCCAGACAAGGCAGGACCGGCCAGTGGGAATTGTTCTAGATGACTTACACAGGAGCTAACAGAGACTGCAGGTGAGAAGAGCTTGCCTGCAGATGTGTTTTGTTAAGTCTGCATGGCATTTTAGTGGAATTTAGTCAAGATTTTAGAATGAGAGATTTCACATAAAATCAGATTTCTTACTTGGGTTGAAAAATTGGACGATTGGCTGCCCTGAGCAAAGTACTCTGGAGTGGCCTTCTCTGCTGGATTTGAGTAAGATGCTCCCTTTCAAGGGGTCATGGGGTCTTTATCCATTTCTCCTCAGGCCCTACACTCCTTAGTCCCTCCTCAGTGCTGAGGCTGGTGTCAGATACCAGTTGTCACTGTGTGTGCAATGTTGCTGTTCTCACAGAGAGAGAAATCTTTATTTTACTATTTTTTTTTAAATTTTACTTATTTGGGAGAGAGAGAACCAGCGAGGGGGAGGGGCAGAGGGAGAGGGAGAAGCAGGCTCCCCGCTGAGCAGGAAGCCCGATGCAGGACCCGGTCCCAGGACCCTGGGATCATGACCTGAGCTGAAGGCAGACACGTAACTGACTGAGCCACCCAGACGCCCCCAAATCTTTATTTTACAGAAATCTCTATCAAAAGTGGGAAAGTGATTATGGAACAAGGAGGTGGTGTTTTGTTTTTGTTTTGTTTTCCACTGAACCACTTTATTCATTGATATAACTGGCTCCTGTGGGTGCATGGGTTCAACCTCGCTGTGATAAACCATCCATGTTTCACCAGAATATTAACCGTAGGGGCCATTAAGCCTCTAAATTCTCTACCACTTAACCTAGAAGGGAGGGAGGAAGAGGGCCTGAAGATGAAAGAATCCAGACAAAAGGTCTGCTGCTGAGAAGCTGGGAATCAGAAGCAAGCAGGGGACATTGATCCAGAGATCCATTTCCCATTGTACAAGTTCCAGAGGTTAAACCATTTGCCCAGTGTCCTCAAGGGTAAGGACAGACAGACGTCCCTTTGTGAAACCCAGCACAAAGCCTCCCAAGATTTGAGCTAAGACTGTCGTCCCTCCCTGCATGGAGTGGATGTTCCCTCCCTTTTAAACCTGGGGTGTAAAGGGACTTACAAGGTTTACTTTTAGTCCTACTTGAAGAATTGACTTGAACTGATAGTTGCAAAAATAACTTTATAAAATTATACAGGAAAGCCAAGAGGAAACAATTTCAGACAATTAAAGCAGCATGATATTTGTCAGGTTGACCAGATGCTGGAATCTTCAGAGAAGCCTGCAAGGAGAGGTCTCCCCTGTGCCTTTGGTGCTTGATACGACTTTAGCAGTGGGGTCCTGAAGGTAGCATGAGGGGGTCCCTGAGCTGTTGTCCTTTGTTTAAGAGCCTGAGCAGAAGGTATGTTTTCACACAGCAAGTCTGCCTAATCATGCCAAGGTTTGGCTTTGGCTGAACTCTGTATGACACACATTGGTAGAGCAGGTAGTTCAAAGTGTGAAGGCCATGGGGACAAATGGCTGGGAAAGGGGTGACTCATAAGTAAATACTTAGGAGCAATGAGAGGAGCCTTGAGTCAGCACAGCCTGGCCTGCAAGCCCTTTCTCTCAACCCTGGGGTCCAGGTGATACCACTGACTTCCCATTACCCAGGAAGCCGGAGAGTGTACGATTTAAATGTTGACTTTTGGGCTAAGATTTGGACTGAATTCTGTTTGTCTTTTACTAATGCCATGTAGCTTTGGGCAAATTAAACTCGCTGAGCCTTGGTTTCTGCCTCTCTGAAAGGGGAATAGTAATATCGTCTCCTTTACAGAAATGTTACAAAGTTAGATTAGATAAAGCATGTAAAGCATTTATCACAGTGCCTGGCACTGCCAGAGCTTCAGGTAAGCGACATTATTGCTTTTAGTCGTCTCTCTGGGTATTAGACTCTCTCTGAAAAGATGGCCAGAGGCCCTCGTTGAACCTTCTTGGTCCTCTTAACAACTGTTCATTTGGTCTCATCATGGTGTAGTGGCTGTCCAGTTCATCATTGATTTGGTTGATGTGCTAGGGGATCCTTGGCACTTTTATGCCTCAGTGAAGAAATTCATATTTCTAGATACTGGTTAGCAACCCACGCATCTTGGGTGAGCTCAAATAGGTGAGACCCTGACTCCACAAACAAGGAAAGAGATGAACCCATTACCCCACATGAAACAGTTTCATTCTGGGATGATTACTCACAGACCCTGTGAGTTTCATTTATTTGAAAGTCCCTTTTCCTGTTATGCCAAGTCTCCAGAGCAGATGTCCCACATCCTTCCCATCCTTGGGGAATACTGTAGCTTAGAGTTCAGAGGGTAGACTGAGTGTTGCTTGAGTTCTCTGTGCCTCGGTTCACTCACTGTAAGACAGAGATGATCCTGTCACCAGCAGCGTTGGGTTCAGTGAGTTGCTGTGTGTGGACCCCGCACAGCGAGTCCTGTGTGAATGACAGCTCCTGGTTTTCTCCTCCACCTCTTCTCCGTCCTTTGCTCTACCTTCCTTATCATCTTCCTCATCGGCGTCCTCACTGTGGCCAGGCGTGTGGGTCCTCGGGCTCAGAGATGCTTTGCTTCAGCTTTCCTCTTTCTGCTCTCAGGCTGGAGGGAGGACTTCTCTCTGATGAATCCTCCCCATGTCCCCACCTTCAATTTTTCCTTCCGAACATGCCAGTATTGCCCAGATGCTAATAAGAGGGATTTTGAGGCTCTGAGAGACCTGGATTCATGTCTTGGCTCCCTCACTTTCTGGCTCTCTGACTGTGCTGAACTATGTAAGTCCTCAGAGCCTTCATTTTCTGATTGTGAAATGGAGATGTTACCCATCGCCTGGATATAGGCAGGGTTTAAGGGAGGCAATCACGTGAAGCTCTTAGGACAAGCAGTGCCTGGCTCACAGTAAGTGAGCAAGCAACAGTAGCTTCGCTGCGCCAGGCCACTTCCCAGGTGTGGATGCCCCGCTGCCGCGTGCTCGTCCTGAGCTGCCGTCCACCCGTGGGGAAGTGCTGCCGGCTGTTGAATTCAGCCCTCACGTGCAGTTTGGTTTCTCTCCTAGGAAAAGCACCTCACTTTCTGCGGCTCCAAAATGTCGAGGTGAATGTGGGGCAGAATGCCACATTTCAGTGCATCGCTGGTGGGAAGTGGTCTCAGCATGACAAACTTTGGCTCCAGGTAAGGATGGGAGTGGCCCCCTGCTCACATCTGCCCATTCCTCGGTAAGGGCAGAAAGCGTGTGCTGGGATGAAGGGCTCGGTGTGGGTAAGGGGAGGGGATATTTTGATGTACCTCTGCTCCTTGGATCATACTCTGCCTCCATTATCTTGTGAGATCTTCACTCTAATTTGGTTTTGTAGGCATGAGGGTACCCATTTTACAGATGGAGAAACTAAGACCACAAACCTGGAAGTGCCAGAACTAGAATTTATAATTATGCCCTTTCCACGCTGCCTTCTAACCAACTTTGTCCTTTAAGGCCAGACTCCCAGGGTGAAGGCAAAACTTACTACTTTAGATTCTGGGTATGTGGAATCATGAAATCTTCCCTGGAGGGACCTTAACTACCCAGTGGTCCACCAGATTCCTGTCTGACGGGTAATGCTCCTCCACAGTATTCTGGTAAAGTCTGGTAAAATCACCCTTTGCCAGAATATTTCACTACATCAGCAAAACCCTGTGTTCTTTGCCTAAAAGAGTCTCTCAAGAAAGCCAGGAGGGTGTTCTGAGTTTGAATCTGTTCTGCTCTTGGGTCTGCTCCTTGGCCTTACTTTCAAAGCAAGATGAGAGAGGATCTCTTTCAGTGGAGGTAGGGGAAAGGATGGGACACAGAATTAGACACAAATTGTTGCAGCATCAGAGATATTCCCAGGGATGCTAATGTAGAAATACCAGTGAGTAGCCACATGTGGCTATTGAATGTATTTTGGTTTTGTTTTTTATTTTACACAAATTCATTAAGGTTTAATTGAGATACAGTATTTAAAATGGGTAATTTAACACATTTTCACGTGTGTATATTTGTGAAACTGTGATCACAGTCAAGATACTAGACATATCTATCATCCTCAGAAGTTTCCTTGTTCCCATTTGAAATCCCTTCTTTCTGCCCCTCCTTACTCTCATCTGTCTCCGGGTGATCACTGATCTGTTTTCTGTCCCTGAGCAGTTGACCCTTGATCTTGCACAGATTTGAACTAGGTGGGCTCACTTATACATAGATTTTTTTCCCCCAATAAATACAGTACAGTACTGTAAATGTATTTTCACTTACGATTTTCTTAACATTTTCTTTTCTCTAACTTCACTGTAAGAATACAGTATATAATACATATAACGTACAAAGCATATATTGACTATGTTATCGGTAAACCTTCTGGTCAACATAGGCTATTACTCGTTTAGTTTGTGGGGGGAGACAGAAGTCATACACATATTTTTGACTATAGTGGGAGTTGCTGTTTTTAACCCCCATGTTGTTGAAGGGTCAACTGTGTATTCATTTGCATGTTCTAAAATTTTATATGAAGTCACACTGTATATACTCTTTTTATCACTCAACAGAATTATTTTGAGATTCCTCTATAATGTGTATATATGAACTTTATTTAAATTTCTTTTTGTTGAGTAATCCTCCATTGTATGAAGATACCATGATTCCTTTATACATTCATCCGTGGATGGACATGTGGGTCGTTCATTTATGGGTTATTTAAAAACAAGTTGCTATGAACATTCACGGACTTGAATGGACGTATGGGCAAGTGCTTTCGTTTCTCTTGGACAGATGCCTAGAAGTAGAATGGCTGCGTCGTCTGGTAGATGTGTAACTTTTAAAGAACCGCTGAGCAGTTTTCCTGTATGGTTGTACCATTTTGCATTCCCATCAGCAGTGGATGGGAGCTATCTTTGCTTACCAACATCCCTGCCAACACTTGGTATGGTCATTCTTTTTAGTTTGAGCCATTTGAATGGGTGTGTAGTGGTACCTCCTCCTGATTCTTGTTTCCCTTTCCCTCAGGACCAGTGATGTTGAACTCCTCTCCATGTGCTCATTTGCTGGCATTCATGTGTCGTCTTTGGTTCTGTGTCTGTTTCAGTTTTTTTTTTTTTTGCACCTTTATTATTGGTTTTGTTCCCTTATTATTACATTTTGATAGTTCTCTATATGTTCTGGATACAAATCCTTCATCAAATACATGCTTTGCAAATATTTTCTGTCTTCATCTGTGGTTTGTCTTTTCATTCTCTTAATTGTAGCATTGGAAGAGCAATTTTTAAATTTGGATGAAATCAAATTTATCGTTTTTTCTTTTTTGGATCTTGTCCTGGCATCATTTGTAAGAAATCTTTGCCTAACCGAAAGAGACAATGATTTTTTTCTTCTGTTTCCTTCTGGAGATTTTATAATTTAGCTTTTACATTTAGGTCTGTGATCCATTTTGAGTTAATTTTGCATATGGTGTGAGGTATGCATCGAAGTTCTTTTTTCTTTTGGCGTGCATTTAGATATCTCCATTGTTCCAACATCATTAGTTGAAAAAGAGCATTCTTTCTCTGCTGCGCTGCTTTTGTCCACAGAGGTAGGGGGCTATTCCTGGGCCCTTGCTCCTGTTCTGTTGATCTCTTTGTCTGTCTTTATGCCACTGTCACGCTGACTTCGTTAATGTAAGCTTTCTAATAAGTTTTGAAATCTGGTATGTTAGTCTTCCAGTTCTTCATTTTCCCAGTGATTATGGCTGTTCTAGGTCTTTTGCATTTCCATATGACTTTTAGAATCACTTTGTCAACTTCTACATGAAAAGCCTGTTGGGATTTTGATGGGGATTGATTGCATTGAATCTGTAAATCACTTTTGCAGAGAACTATCTTAGCAATAATGACTTTTGTGAGTCTGAACATGGTATAGTTCTTCATTTATTTAAGGTCTATGGTGATTTCACTCAGCACTCACTGTAATTTTCAGTGCATAGGTCTGACACATTTTTTTGGTCAGACTTATCCTTGGGTATCTGATATTTTTGGTATAAAAAAAATCTCCATTTCTGACTTTTACTGCTACTGTAAAGAAATACAGTTGACTTCCATATACTGATCTTGTGTCCTACGACCCTGTTAAAGTTACAATGGCTATTTACATTTAAATTAATTAAAATAAATAACGTTCTGAACTTAGATGCCCATCACACTAGTCGTGTTTCAGGTGCACAGTAGCCACGTGCGTTTAGTGGCTACCATGTTGGACAAGTGCACACAGGACATTTGCAACATTGCAGAAAGTCTTAGTGGAGAGCATAGCCTGAGCTTCAACAAAACATGAATAGTGGTTGGAAGACGCTATCTCCAGTTACCTCTACCTTCATTTATTGAAAGATCTCCACCATCTCTTCTGGCTGACCTAGTTTGGATGTTGATCCCCAGCCCATGCCCAGCCATCTCTCTGCACATGGATGGAAGTTCATGGTATTGCTTCTCTTCTTGCATTTGAACCCATTTCCTGCAGTTGGAAAATCCCTGGGTGAAAGGGCCCCTCTCGGGGCTGACCATTCTTCCTTGCTCCTTAGCAGTGCAGTAGAATGGAAATAGTAGTAGTGCCTGACCCTCTTGCTTCCCCGGGCTGCCTGCAGACCACAAGACTCACGGCAAACTTCCATGTGTCACTCAAGTATTTAGTGTTAATTAATCTTTCAGTTGTAGTTCATACTCATGTGCATCGGGCTCTCTAGAAGCTTTGTCATTTCGATGGCATTGCCTCGGTTGGGTCAGGAGACTGAGAAGGAACAATCACAATATTTTCAACACCTTTACTTAGCTTTTCCAATTATTTTATGATGATTATTGCCTCATTTCTGAGTTGCATGTCCTAAACCTTGGCTCTATCAGCAGGAGGATTTAGAAGGTAATACAAGTATTGGAGAAAATAGGAACATATGGTGTGGAGCTCTTCCACGTCGTGTTTATTTACCTCCTTTTCAGTGTAAATCAAATCTTATTTCACAGAACGTTTTTCAGGTGGCTTACAATGGGACATAAAGCATGACAAGATAGCACAAATTAAAAGTGAGGCAGCGGGAGATAGGGAAGGAACACACTGCTGCAGAGCTGGTCATAATGTTAAAACTGCGTTTCTCCACATCTGTGGCTTCCTGGGGCGGGCGGTCACGGGCGGAGCCCACAGCGCGGCAGCTGCCAACCGCATAAAGGAAACTTGTCAGATACACAGTTAAGAGTGTCCACAAGATAAACACAAACCAATTGGTCTGGAAACTTCTAACTTGTTCACACAGAAGCCAGATAGGAATTGTTCCCAGGAGTCCTCATAAAGAAAACAGTGTCTGATGTAAGGCACGGCGTTCTCTCTATTGAGGGTACACACACAAGTGAGCTTCACAGGCTCGTTTCCCATATTGGTGCTCTGTGCAAAGGCAGTTTGGGGAGATGGTCGAAGAGGGAGGGGATGGGGTTGGGCAATGTGATGGGACAAAAGTCCCCAACTCTCTGCTTATCCTGGGATACTTTAGATATACCTGGTGAGTGAATAGTTTCAATAGCTACTCCTTTAAGGAAACCACCAGAAATATTGTCTCCTTCATCTGTATTTCAGGAAATACTGGGAGGTAGATGGTTTACACTGTGCACTCTGGTAAACGCTGCTTGGCTAGTTAAGTCCAGGCTTACATTCAGCAGTGTGGTTGGAAGTGAGTTAATATCTTTGTACAAAATATGAGGCACCTGATAATGACACCTGCCTGCCGCTCAGGAGGCCGCTGCACCTGATCTGACATGGGTGGAGGCAGTAGTGAATTTCTCACGAGATGCTGCTTTGGATCTGTTCCAGCACCTGGAGGAACAGCATGCAGACTGGCCACAGCTCTGTTCCACAGATCAGGGCTTCTGTGACTCAGTCTGAAAATTTCCAAAGTAAGTGAAACAGGTATACTGTGGCCAAGAGTCTACCTTTCAACAATGCTATTTCCTTCTGTAGCTTCCAAGAGACACTGAGGTGTCACTGTTGGTCACCAAAGATAGAAACATTTTCTTATCCACCAGTTTTAAGTCAGGGAAATAAAGCCAGTGACTCTGTTTCCAGAATAGTATGTCATTGCCCCTTCTCTCCAGCAATGAGATGAAACCCTATCGTCTGTGTTGGAGAGAATGATTGCCTTCCTTTCTGTAGA